TAACAACATAGCTCCTCAACTGCTGGATTCAAAGATACAGAAGTAGAGAAAATGCCAACTGAAAATCTCAAAAGTTTTCTAGCAAAAATGAGCAATGACTTCAGAGGGCGTACACACACAGATGGATGAGGTAAGGAAATCATTCTGGAACCTGGAGAAGAAAGCCAGCAACTCAGAAAAAATAAGTAAGACAGATTAAAAAAAGCAACATGAGTGGGGAGGGGGAGGGGAAATCACCAAAATGGCAGAGAAATTCAGCAAACATAAATTTTTTAAAAACAAAAAAATGAAAAATGTAATGATTCAAATAATACTCCCAGTGGAAACTGGGTATGGCAGGTAATTTAATTCCAGCACTAAGGAAGTAGCCTTGGCTAAGTGATGGCTGCCAAAAAACAAATGCCAACAGAAGCTGGCAAGTATGTGAGGAAGGGGAACACACATCGCCCTGTTCATGGGGGCGCAAACTGGTGCAAAGACAAGGGAAGAAAGCGTAGGGGTTTCTCAAAATGCTAGAAAGAGAGCTACCATATTCGCAATTACACAGCTCCTGGGCACATACACGGTCAAAGAACTGTAGTCCTAATACAAGACACCTGCACATCCCGAACCACTGCTGTGCTGTTCACAGTAGCCAGGAAGTAGAAAACTAGGCACTCATCAACCAATGAGTGGATAATGAAAATATGCTGCTGCTCACACAAAATGGAATTGTTCTCAGCTGAAAAAAAAAAAAAAAAAAAGAAACTATGAAAGTTTCAGGAAAATGGATAAAACTAGAAATTATTACACTGAATGAAATAACCCAGGCTCAGAAAGAAATGTGGCATTTTCTTTCTCATAGGAAGATAAGTAGAGGATTTGTGCAGGAAGGGGATTGAAGAGGTCTGGAGTAGAGCAACAGTGAGTGAATGTGATCAAAATACATTATGTACAGGTATGGAATTTTCAAAATAAACGGTATTTTTCAAAACAAGGGGCATAAACATTCTGTAACTAAGAAAAGCCTTAGAAATGTGCACAGGCCTATATTCTGTGCATTTAGGAAAATCTGTACCAGTTAAGGGGTTCTTTGGCCATAAACCAATGATTAAATGCAATATACAGTTTTACTTTCTCCCAAGTGATTTGGTCTGTCAGGTGACACGTGTATTCTCACAGTTGGTCAAGTGAGAAGCAGGAAAAGGAAAGACCTATGTTTAATGAATGGGCTTGAGTGTGTCACAAATACTCACTTCTGGAAATTTAACACACCACACTAGCCCACTGTATCCTTCAAATGAATTCTGATGCTACAAAGGCCAGCTTGTCCCTTTTACCTGTTTCACTCTGAGCTTTGTAACTTGGAATTCTGTGCTTTATTACACGAAAATGTTTGTAGCTCGTCATTTTGACGTTAATGAGGTAGAGGTACCATGCAGCAAAAGAATACACTTCTTGTCATAAAATCATCAATCTCTAAAACATGTTGATGGCATGATAAAACCATTCACAGAAACAGAAACAAATTGTTAGTCCCTTTATGCTACTACAACAAAATACTACAGAATGGAACACACAATAAATAGAAAGTATATTTTCTCATAGTGTTGCCTGCTGGAAAGTTCCAAATGATAGTGCTGGTGAGGTCAAGATATGCTAAAGGCTCCTTCCTGATAGACAGTACTACCTAAGTGTTTAATAGGGCAGGCATCCTTACATTAGGTGAATCTGGAACTTGAGTTTGCTGGCTCAAATAAAGATCCTTTGTGTAAGGAAGGCAGAGCCTGGTGCCAGAATCAATGTTAAAATTTCCAAATGCTCCTAAGGAAAGGTGAACGCATCTCCTCAAACCCTTTCATAATGTAGTAATCCACTTGAGAGGACAACGGCCCTGTGGACTAATCTCGTCCCCAAAGCCCTGTGTCTTAATACAACAATGGTAAGGATCAGGTTTCAATGTGAATTTTGGAGAAGACATATTCAAAGCACAAAAGTCTTCTTCATTTCTTCTTATTAGTTGTAGTTCTTGTTCTTAGAAATTGCAAGTGATCCATCTGGAAAATTACTGATTCTTCCATCTACCTGGCCAAACCTCCTGCTAAAAATCCAGGTGAAATATTTCTGTAGTCTATAGGTCTATCATTTATATTTGGTTCTATTTTAAGGATTCGCTCTTTGTAGAAATAAGAGGGTATATAAGTCGTTAAAATTATAAAAAATATCAAATCTTGGCCGGGCATGTGGCACAAGTCTTTAATCCCAGCACTCAGGAGGCAGAGGCAGGCAGATCTCTATGAGTTCAAAGCCAACCTGGTCTACATAGTGAGTTCCAGGCCAGCTGGGGCTACAGGGTGACCCTGTCTCAGTAAGACAAAAAAAAAAAAAAATCAAATCTTAAAAGTTATAGTAATAATAATACTAGCTGAGGAATGAGAGATGCCTCACTGCAGGAATGACTGATGTCAGTTATACCTACCAAGGTCAGACCACCTTGGCCAAGTCCCACAGAGGGGTCTCACCCTTCTGTAGTCCTGTTGGAGAATCACATTCCAGATTCAGTAGAGACATGTTCATTAGCCCACAGGAGACATTGATCACTGCTAAAGAGGCAATTCAGAAACTCTAATACAGGTGTACTCCAATATGTGACTAGTGCAAAGGGAGGTGATTACTTAGGGAGAAAACTCCTAAAGGCATCTGTGTGGGAACTGTGTGCTAGCAGTGATCAGTCAACCTGCTGGTTAACTCATTCAAACAAAGATATCGTTCCTTTACTTCCAACTGCAGAAACGAATTGCATACATAGGAAAAGGACCGAGTGCCTGATGAGAAAAATGATTTATTCCAGGCTACAGAATATTTTTCCATGATCATTTTCAGTTCATAAAAACCTTTAACCATCATTAAAATTTGTCAGCTTTTAAACTCAATTCTCAAAACTTCCCAGGGGAGGTCAGAAGGCCTTAATATGTGTGACTACTGCAGAAGTTATAATTATTCATGCTTTAGCATATTACCTAACCTCAAACTCCTGAGAAAACCTTGCTAACCAAATCCATTTACAAATTCATACAAACTCTACAGACTGAAACTAAAACTGCTCTCCACAAGGACACTCTGGTCCACAACAGAGCAAGTTCCGGGAAAAGCAAGCACATGATTAGAAAGAACTTTCCTTATTTATACCTTAGTCGAGCCACCTCCTTTCAGAGACAACAGGACAACAGGAGGCTGTGAAAAAGAGTAGTCAAAACTGGTTTATGTTGAGCAGTAATTACTTTGTAGAAGTTTATCTACAATGTTACTACAATGTTAACAGGAGAATGGTCTGTACCACATGAACTAAAATTGATAAAAAAAGGCCTGGGAGACATGGCTCCTCAGTTAAGGGCACTGGCTGCTCTTGTATAGAAACTGGGTTTGGTTTCCAGCACCCACATGGTAGCTTACAACCATTCATAACTCCAGTTCTAGGGGATCTGACACCCTCTTCTGGCCTCTACAAGAATTACACAACATAGTACACTTACACATAAGCAGGCAAAACAGTCATACACATAAAAGAAAATTAATAAATAAAAAGTTTTAGACTGGATGAAGAAGAAATTGAGCTGAGTGTCGTGGAACACACCTAAATCCCAGCAGTTGGAATATGGAGGCAGGACGATAAAGTCCTAGGCATGTCTACATGAAAAAGCCATAACACATTTCAAGTAAAATAAAAAGAACTTAACAAGACACTATACAAAAATAAAAGCTACCCGGGTATGGTGGCACATGCCTTTAGTCCTAGCACTCAGAGGCAGAGGCAGGTGGGTCTCTATAAGTTCAAGGCCAGCCTGGGACTACATGGAGACCCTGTCTCAAAAAAATAAACAAATAAATAAATAAAAGCTAATATGCCTCTTTATTTCTATTACTCAAAACAGAATTCCACTCTAACTGATGAAAAGCAGTATCATCATGGTTTTTCCTATCTAAACATGTACCATAAAAAAGGCAGTGAAAGGAATTTTTACTAATGATATTAACATCTAGCAACTATATTTAATCTAAACAAGAACTGTGAACCTGTTTCATGGCATTCCCTTGACCACATCCTCAAAGACAGGTGAGTTCTTTTATTTAAACTTTTTTCAAAATATTTTATTTTTATTTTATTGTATGAGTGTTATGCCCACATGTACATACATGCACCTGTGTCATACAATGCCTGAGGAGGTCAGAAGAAGGCATCAGATCCATGGAACTAGAGTTATGGATGGTTGTTAACCACCATGTAGGTGCTGGGAATCAAACCAAGGTCCTCTGCAGGAGCAGTCAGTGCTCTTAACCTCTGAGCCATTGCTCAAGCTCCAAGACAGGTGGTTTTATTAGCAATTTCCTTCCCAAACAGAGACTACCTCAAAGAAGACATGTAACAAAAAACCCCACTTGAATGGATCATTGAGAAATACAAGTAGCCAATAAATGCCCAGTAAATGCCTAAGGTAAACACTGTCACAGAAACAGACACACTGAGAAAACAAGTTCAAATACAAAAATAAACATTGCATCTTGGAGATGTGACTTATAATTGAACTTTTACATCAAACCACATCAGTGAAAGCAAATAGCAGAAAGAAGGATTCACCACACACTGATAAGACATGGGGGTGCCGTTTTCTTACTGGAGGATGCTTACATGAATGTGAACATTCAAGATAAGAGTAAAGACAGTGGGTAGCGGTCATGATGTGAGACCTGAGAAAAGAGGTTCTTCTAGAAACTGTCAGGCTATGTCAGACTAATTTTATGGTGTGAAACAAAAAGATTTGGTTTAGTAATATTATTGGAATAAGTCTTAATTCCTAAAATCCAAACTGCTTTTGCCTATAAATTGCTTATTATTTATGATAATCTAATGGTTTGCATTTGCCACAGGGTTAAATGTCTTGTCTGCTGATCAACTTCTTTTTGTCAGTGTTGATGACAAGAAGTATTTACTGCAAAACCATGATGGAGAGTATTGCACTCACCTTCATCACTGGCCACCTGCTGCTTCACAAGAGTCATTGGGGATCTGGCTGGAGGCTGGCTGAGGGGATGGCGCCAGCTCTTAGCAGTTCTGGTCTCTCCTTCTACTCTCTGGTCACAGATCGAAAAGAAAGGGAAATATCCATTAATGAGTAGGCTTCTTTTCCATGTCTGGTACATGTATGTGTGCATGCAAAAGATAGATTTCCTGTTGGTCTCCACTTTGTTTTTGACAGTCTCTTAAGGACCCTGAAGCTTCACCTGACTAGCTGGCCAGTGAGCTCAGGGACCCTCCTGTTCCTGCCACCCAAGACTAGGATTAGAGACTAGTCCAGCAACTCCGGGTTTCTTACATGACTTCAGGGGATCCACAATGGCATCCCCATATGTAAACAGCAAGCACTTTACACACTAGCCATCTATCCAACCTCAATAAATTTTTTTTCAACAAAAAACCCACACTTCAAAATGGTAACAATGATAATTACATACTTTTATAACTTATTTTCTCTCTAAAGAATTAGCTCTTTAAGATATTTAAACTTGTACTGGTGAGATGGCTCAGAGTTTAAGGGCACCGGTTGCTTGTGCAGAAGACCCACGTTCAAATCCCAGCACCCGGATGTTGGCTGACAACCATCTACAACTCCAGTCCCAGGGGATCTAATGCCCTCTTTTGGCTTCCACAAGCACTATACGACATGAGTGTACTTGTATACGTGTAGAAACCAAAAACAAACAGAAAAAAAGAAATGTAAACTTTGGACTGGAGAGATGGCTCAGTTGTTAAGAGCACTGTATGCTCTTACAGAGGGATCCAGCTCCATTCCCTGTACTCACATGATGGTTAACAATCATCCCTAACTCTAGTTCATGATAGGTAACAATCATCTATAACTCCAGTTTCATGGGTTCTGACTTCTGACCTCTGTGGGCATTAAACACATTGGTGCACTTACATGCAGGCAAAATACTCATACAGATAAAAATACATAAATAAAAAATTAAATTTAAACTTAGCTGGGCATGGTGGCACAGGCCTTTAATCCCAGCACTTGAAAGGCAGAGACAGGTGAATCTCTGTGAGTTCAAGGCCAGCCTGATCTACGTAGTGAGTTCTAGGCCAGTTGGGGCTACAAGGAGACCCTGACTCAAAGACAGAAAATAAAACAAAACAAACAAATAAATTATATTTGTCATTTCCAGACTACTAAGAAAAAGACTATTTGAAATTGCGGTCTTTTTATAATATTCATGGTTACCAAAGAATATGAAAAGACCTGTCACAAGTTGAATAAACCAGCAGCAATCAAGAGGTCATTGTGCTCCACAGACAGCTCAGCTGCCATCTCCAATGACTCAGACACTTGAAGGCCAAAAGAGGTTTAGAATGCTAGCACCTTACTAGCTCACCTGACCCACTGCCATTCTGTGGACTGTCCACTCTGTAAGCAAATAATACTAACAGTGAACAAGGACAAATAAGAGGAGATACCCTGTCCATCAAACCAGCATGCAGATGCTGATAATCTAAGTAGGGTATGGAAACCTTCCTGAGAGACAAAAGGCTTGCTTCTTGGAGTGACCAGCACCAGAAAAAACCCTAATATTATAAGAGCAAAAGACAAAAGGAAATAGTGATCAGGTAAGCCATGATGTAAAATTAAAGACTGGGTAAGACAGATCTTGCAATACTATGATTGGCAGGAGGGCACTTACTGCTAATAGAGCTGATGGCAGGGCCATTCTGTATTTGATTACGCTGATGGCAATAGGGCTACCATTTTATAATAAAGTTTATCAAGTGGAGTATTCGTGGAAAGTGGTTAATAAGTAGAAAGGATCTTACTCTTCTTACATCTCCATCTAAGCCTGCTGTTATCTCCAAATAGAGACTTTGAGTGGGGGGGGGGGGGTCTTTTTCAGACAGGGTCTCCTTGTAGTCCCAGCTGTACTGGAACTCTCTATGTAGACCAGGCTGGCCCCGAACTCACAAAGATCCGCCTGCCTCTGCCTCCCAAGTGCTGGGATTAAAGGCGTGCAGCACCACACCAGGCGAGACTTTGATTTTTAAAAGTGTAATGTAAAACAAAATTATTCATCAACATGTGGCCAAAGGCTCTATGTTTTAATGATTCAAACTGTGAGGCAGAGCTCACAGTATATTTTCCTGCTAGCCATTAACAGAATGTGATCAAAACTCGCAAAGGTAAAACTGTATTCACTTCTGCCCTAAAAGAGTTCAGTGGCTAGGCGCTGTTTTCACAAAGCGTTACCACCATACAATCCACCAAGGATACATACAGGAGAAATAGGTACCGTCACTTACGTCAGGGATGTGGAAGCCATTTCTCTCCTCATCAAGAACTTCTGGGACTTCCCCAGGTTCAAGGTTACTTCCATGGCCTTCCATATCATTGGCTTCTCCTTCTGTAAACATTCCATTACTTTCTGCCGGTGAGGAAGACATGTAGGGAGATTTGGGCCAGAGGTGCCTAGGTGGATGTGGTTCTTCACCACTTACATGGTCACTAGAAAATGGTATGAAGTCACTTGCCTCCTTGGGCACAGATGGTGACGATATGGCTTCGGCTTTTTCATCTTCAGTTTGTGTTTCATCTGTTACAGGTGTACTTAAGGAGTTATTTCCTGAGGAGAAAAACCATCAACTACCAATAAATATTGTATAGTGTTATTACTCATTACAATGGTTAGACAATTTTCAACTGATTACTGGTTTTATGTTATCCACCTTTCCCCTTCAGTTTCCATAAACATGAAAAGTCATCGTACTGTCATGTTACCTTTACAGATAAAATGAAATCTAGGAGCATTTAAGATTTGTTTTTATTTCATGCATAGGAGTACATTTATGTATGTACATCACATGTGTGCTTAGAATCGGTGGAGGCCAGAAGGTGTCAAATCCCTTGTATCTATAGTTACAAATGGCTGTGAGCCACCATGATGTATGGTGTTATGTGAACACCATAACTTTGTTCTCTGTACTTGTTGCAGTTCGCATCCCAACCTTCTCAGCCTACTATCTCCAATTCCATTCTTTATACACCTAATCAGAAGCCACTGGGCTACTGAGTTCTGTCCCTGAAAGACCAGCATGCACCATTACATCATGACACTTACCACAACAAATTACAGTTGTAGGTCTGTCTATGTAGCTCATCCCTAAAAGTATAGGCTCATAAAATATTTTATGGTTTCGAAGGTAAGGACAAGAACTGAACTATCTTGTGAAAGCTGCCAAATGAACAATTGGCATCAGGCGTGGCTAGAGAGCCTCTGCATGAACCAGGAGAGAAGCTCTTTCTGCAGTGATGCAGTGGCGTCCACCATGAATAGGAGAGAGAGCTGCATTTGGAGGAGCACCATGACTAAAGGACACATAAAACAAAGGATGCAGGAGGAGGAGAGGAATTATCAAGTGACTCAAGTAATAAAGGAACAAAAATGCAAGATACTGAAGAGGTAAAGCAGTTTCAGAGAAATATGAAGTAACCGGGGATAAAAGAAAAAGTAGCCAAGGGCTGGAGATGGCTCAGCAGTTCAGAGCACCAGATGCTCTTGCAGAGGATCTGGGTTCAGTTCCCAGCACTCACATGGTGATTAGCAACCTCTGTAACTCCAGTTCCAGGGGATCCAACACCCTCTTCTGACTCTTGCACACACTGCATAACATAGGTGCACTTATAAACAGGCAATACACTCATAAAAAATAAAATAAAATATTGGAAAAAGAAAAGTAGTTGAGACATTTCAACGAGCTTATTAGCATAAAGGAATAGCCATGAGGATTCACATCAAGCTGATTTTACACATTTTTCTTCTTTTTAAAATCTTAACCTTTATTCTCTTCTTAAAATTAAGTTTAAAGCAAGGAATCTAAACAGAATTGTCTATAATTGGTTTTCTTTCCTCATGTGAATTCAGGAGCTTTCCAAAAAATGCACATTGGAAACTGAGTTTTACTTAAAGATTCTGCACTTTAGAAATCTTCATGTTTATTTTTAAAAATAAGAATTGTGTCCCTTATTTTTTATAACATCTGTTTGGCCTCCTAGTTGAATTACCCTATACCTTTAGGGAGTTCATTGGATAAGCTAGGTTGTCTATCTTAGTGAACACAGTTCTAAAACATATTAGCGAACACCTACTAGTCATATGTGTAATGCAAATCGAGTACTCTCTCACCTGAGAGTCTGGTGGTGCCCAGTGAGCTCTGGCCTGTGAATGTCCTGCCGACAGAGGCTTCTCCTTCAGAAGGGATTTTTCTGTCATCCAGTGTGGATACTTTTTCTAGCTTTTCAGTGACCTTGAGGTCTCCTGGGCATATGGCAGGGTTAGCTACCTCCTCTTCATTAAATACAGCAGTTTCATCCTCCTCATCCTCTGCCTTTGGCCTTTTTGAGTGAGACCTACTGACCTGGAAGCTGTTGACAAATGAAGGATGGTCAGAGCAGAAAGTTCACAGTGGATATGAAATACACACCAGTGCACATGCTTACACCAATAAAAAAAACTTATAAAAAAAACTTACTGAATACTAACAAAATCTGAAGGTAAAACTTTAAGATTCTCTAGATGAACGTACTAACTCTAGGCATTTCACATTATAAACAACTGATGAAACCGTACTGTAAAGTCAAAGAATGCAGAGACATGAGGTCAATCAAGTAAATAAGGAACACCATATATAACTTAGCTGTGGGTGCTGCTGTTACCTTGGGGGACACATGCAGTATCTCCATCTCACACACACAATGATGCCTAGCATCTCTCGGAGACTGCAAGGCATTGCTCCATGTGTTTGCTTTCCCTAAATATGGTGTTTCTGAAGGAGATCAGCAATCTCTTTAAACCTCTGACAGAAAAATCAAACTCTTTAACATTAGGCCCTCTAACAAGATGAGTAATGTCCTCTGATTATTTCAGCCAACCATCAAACACTGCCAATCTATAAGCATCAAGAATATATGTTCTCTATCAACCTGAAAAGCCCAGTGGCTTAACAGCAAGAAGGTCAATTCACCCACATGATTGTAGTACTATTCTACTTCCATTAAAGTACAATTCTCCAGATGTTCAATTGTTATGCCTCCTACTTATGTGAATATGGCCATCTTCCAAAGGTAGTTTTGATATTGTGAACTGCCACATTTTCCAAAGGTGGACTCCCTAAATACTATTTCTCAAACTCTGAAACTATCCACAGTAAGTTACATATAGCAAGCCAGACATTTTACTGAGACTGTGCAGGGGTGGGTATCTGTGTATGTTCACATAGATATACACAAGCAGAACTAAACATTTACTTTTACCACAAAGGATGTGCTGTGATATTTTTTATTTCATTTTACTTCCTAATGTTAAAATGTTGGTCATGATTTACTAAATTCATTTTTAAATGAATACTTTGAAAATTCTTGTTGTAAACTATATGCTGAAATATCAAGAACTGAGTTTTAGATTAGTGACTACATATTTCTGTGCTATACACGTGTTTCTTAAAATATGGAGAAGTTGGTTCCGTGTTCTGAGGTTCCTCTGCTCAGTGCCATCGAAAAAAGTAAAATTAAATGCCAAGGGTAGGAGGCAGAAAATAAATATTAAAAGTGTGAGCAAAAATTTAAAATCGCAGAGGTATTACATCAAGAGCACACATGCAAGTTACAGGTTCAAATGTAGGGCACCAAATATAGGCAGGTATTAAAGAATATGCTGTAAAAATAATTTATAGGAAAAAAAATCTCTAGATAGTGAGGATATGGGTAACTTGGGGCTCCATTTTATTCTTTTCCTGATTTTACAAGTTTTCTCCAATACTAAAACATTATTTTTACAATCTGAAAGACTAAAACAACTGTAAAAAGGAAAATTAAATATAAAATTCAATATAGGCAGCAAGGAACCTGAGCACCCCGACGTAGGGCCAACTCTAAGGATGTTAAAAGAGATGAAGAACAAAGATTTTGACACAGTCCAAGCCAAAAAAACCGACCTACTTTCAAAGGTTCAAAAAGACAACCAATGGTACAGAAATAACACATTTTCCTCTGATTCTAAGAAGGAATAAAGCCAAAAAAATAAAATGTGGTAACTCGCAAGCACAACAGAAGAACTCTCTCAGGCAGTCAAGAAAGGAAGGAAACAACTGCTAAAGTCAAAAAGGAAATTGGGGGCTGGAGAGCTGGCTCAGTAGGTAAGAGCACTGGCTGCCCTTGCAGTAGACCTGGGTTCTGTTCGCAGCACCCACATGGTGGCTAACAACTCCAGTTCCAGGGGGTTCAGTATCTTCTGACCTCCGTGGGCACTGCATGACATGGGTACACTTACATACATGCAAGCAATACACTTAAGCACATAAAATAAAAATATTTTTTTTAAAAAAATTGGAAGCAAATAAAAAGTTGGAAATCAAGTTACTGAAGCTGATTAAAATATGGAGCCGAATTTAGGATTGGAGAAACACCAACAAATACATGGTGAAAAGATGGCCATTCAAGAAGTCTAAACGTTGTATGTTGTATTCACCGTGGATACTGACTTCAAGAATGCTTTCAAGTATACTACGCATCACTTCCTACACATCCCCTAAACTAAATATTTCAGATTTTCAATAATATACCAAAGATATGATGAATAGGAAGAAACAGGCCTTGGGAACGTTTGTTTCAATGACCCTTGGTGATGGAGCGAACACTACAAAGCAGGCTGTGGCGGGCTGTTACCTTCTGGAGGTTTTCCTTACTTTCCTCCTCCTCTGCAGCCACATTTTTACTTCAGGGGTGGATTCCGGCGTGGGCTTTGTGTGGTCAATAGTATATATATCCTTGCCTTGTTTCCAAAGCTGGTATCTGTCTGGCTGAAATTTCTTCACAAATATATCCATTGAAATCTTCACCATGTCATTTCTGCAAGTGCACTGAGACATAAGGAGCAGTTGAAATGAAATGGACAATGAAATATTTTGCTAACTATATAAAATCCCAGATCCTTGGATACAATATATACTAGTATACAATAATAACACAAATAAAGATAATGATTTTCATTTTCAAAAATTTAGATCAGAGGTGAGAACTTAGTCACATTTAGAAATGAGGATAAAGATACTAAAAATACTTTGTACACTTAGAGAAAACTGTGTACCAGGAATAATCCATAAGCACAAAACAATGACAGTTTTCCAGCAAAGGAAGGATTGCCATACCATCACAGACATGCATCAAAATTCTGAACTATTAGAACAGCATGGACTGTTTCTAGGTCTAACACCTGAGTGAGACCCACAGGGAGGTAATGTTGGGAGGTCAGGCCTAGTGCATGGTCCTTAAGTCCCTGAATGCATGATTTATTTATCATGGCCCTTTTGAAGGTTATATATACAACAGTGGCTACTTCCCTTACTTGTTCTTGTGGAAGGCTTGGTATGAAATGAACAGGCCCTCCCTAACCATCTTTTATCTGCTACTGTGTGTGAGATATGACCATCTCTTTTCTACCCACATTCATCAGTGGCCAAACAAATGGGCTGCCCATTTTTGAGTTAAGCATCTCAAGTTATGAACTAAGTGAGCCTTTTTCTTGATAAGATAGCTGCATTAGGGCATTTCATTATAGTACTGAAAAGCTGCCATTTATATCTGGAATACTAATGTGTGTGATAGTGAGTCATTGGTGAGATGGCTCTGTGAGTAAGGAGCTGCTCAAACTAACCACCTGAGTTCCTCCTGGCAGTCCACATGGCAGAAGGAAAGACTCCTGCAAGCCAGCCCCTCATACCTGTGCTCAATGCATGTGCCCAGACAGGTACAAAATATAAACAAATAAATGGAAGAAAAAATGCATTTAATTGTATTTATTAATAAAGTCTTGCAAGGTAACTCAAAGTTGTGAAAAAATCAAGTCTCTCTACATCACATTAAGCATAACATTAAATAATCATGTTTGTATCAAACATGGAGAAGCAGAGGATTAAGACCAGAAGTTGAAAAGAAAATTATTTTGACTCTAGTAAACTCATTCTCGTGAACATATAATTATCAGTTATACCTTATAAAACAAGCTTCCTATAGACAAAGGTTTAATTAGGTTGAGGCCAACATTCTATGCATTGGGGAAAACATCATTCAGCTAATAAGTGTCTTAGTGATTTAGCTGCTGTCCCTTAACAATCCCATACATACCCGTCCGTAAAGGACAGCTGATAAAACACTAGCCTTGACACACTAAGATTCTCCTATGGCACAATTATCACAAGGATGTAAATTTATTCCATTTAATTAATTTCAAATTTCAAACTTCCCTTAATAGAGTACTAAATATTTGTTTTATTATTTTTGGAGGCAAAGGCAAATCATGTAGCCCAAACTGGTCAGAAACTCTAAATCCTCCTACCTCTGACATCATGGTGTTGCTATGGTAGGTGCACACTGCCATTCCTGGCTAAAGCTCTAATATTAACAGACAAACTTTTTCTATGTGTATGAGTGTATTGCCTGCATGTATGTAAGTGCACCTGTGTTGTGCAATGCCTGTGGAGATCAGAACAGGGTGTTGGATCCCCTGGAGCTGGAATTAATGATGGTTGTTAGCCACCATGTGAGTGCTGCGAATTGAACCCAGGTCCTCTGCAAGAGCAGCCAGTGCTCATATCCCCTGAGCCGTCTCTCCAGCCCCCTTTTTCTAAGACTTCAATGGCAGATATATAAAATTTATATCTAACCAGGCATCTTAGCAAAAGCCAGATACAAAGATGTGGCAAATCAGGAAACATGCGCATGACCTTCTAGTCTGACACCTTCAGTGTCCATGTGCTATACAGAAGAAAGACAAGCATTCCAAAAATTGTGTATCAGAACAAACTAATTTCTTAAGTGCAAACAACAGTTCTACTGCTATGAAGGGTATCAGGAGTCTTCATCATTTTCTTAGCCCCTCGGAACTTCTTAAAGGAACTGAGCATGCCATCTACCATTAACTATTCCAAATACATACCTACTGCAGAAGTTACTTCTGTGAGCATTCCTCCAGTTCCAGACTCGAATTTTAGTAAAATAAAGCTAAACAGCTTCTAGCCTTTGCTAAGTAGCATATATCTTCACTGCAGTTACTTTAACCTTTCTCAAATATAACTTCTCAATTTTCAGCTCAATAGGTGCATTCACTCTGTTTTGACTTTAGAATAAAGTCTGAACTTGACACCCTATTGTACAGGACTACTCTAGAGCTAGTATAACAAATGAGCAATGACCACCCATTACTCCTTGAGATGCAGGCTGCATACCCTGGGGCAGGATGAAGGGAGCTCTGGTGGGGTGACCTGCAGGAGCCATAAGAGATATTTGGTCATCACCTGTGAGGACTGTGGAGTGCTAAATTTTGCCTGCTATCCACGCTACTGTACCCGACAGGGCTCTGTTGAGGAAACAACTGATACAAATGGAATCTTTCCATGCTTTATGGGTTTACATTAGTATCTTATGGTTTACATTAGTATCTTCTGAGTTACATTAATAGCTTCTGAGTTTCAAATTTCTGCAGTTATCTGACACTCACTTGGAACACATGACCACAGGGCTTTATCAATGTTATCTTTGTAAATCTACTGTTCATTATGGGATGGTGGTTCAGGACATTGTGGCACTGAACCCATTCACTGTAAAAAAATTGTATTATATGGAGAAAATAATACTAACTTTGGGGACACCTTGCAGATTTGGAAGCCCATTTGAGGGGGATGCAGTGCACCTATGAAATTCTTGGAAGCCATATTGTTATATAACACACAGATAATACCTACCAGGGTGACTGGGAAAAGTCTGCATTGGCCCAGTGCTAAGGCGGGTGACCTCCTGAGGAGCTGTTGGCCATGGAGGCTGTAGAGGCCCCTAAATCAATAAAGACTACTGCCACTGCTCTTTGGTGCACTCTAGAACTGAATGGTAAGATTCTATTGATGAAGATGCTGCATGCTTTGGTTGCAGGACTTAAAGAATTAAGGCTGGACTGAGTAGGAAATGTCCCCTGCTTGTGAGCTATTCAGCTCTTGCACTGTTTAAAGGTGTCACTAAGGTTTCTGGGGAGAATTATGATCAAAGACCCTACTAATCTGTGGATACTCTATGCATCATGATGTAAGTGCCAGGCAAATGGACCAGCTGGGTGGTGGTGTGGTACAAGTGCTTATGGGTAGAACCAGCTTTCAGATTGGATATAAGGCACACTCCAAAGGGTACTAGGAATTTCAACCAAAACCATGACCAGGGAAGTCATAGGCTCCAGGTGGAAAAACAATTGCTTTTCCTTTGCTAAATGATGTGCCAGCTAAGGTGTTTCCCCAACCTTTGCGTTTATAATCACAGGTTACTACTGCAGGGGTGTCCGTTTGGGCATTTCTACTATGCCCATTTTCCTCCTCTCATTTGTGTTTTGTAGTAGGAGGAATACCACTGAGCCTCACTAACAACCATAGTCCAAAAAGAGGGTTGATGACAAGGCACAGTGGTTTGGTACCTCTGCTGGATTTGGAGAATATTAGACATCTATGTCATGCCCTTCAATTCTCAGGTGCCCATGCAGAAGAGAGGAGCAGAAAGAATATAAAAGCCAGAGGATAGGGTTCAGTGTTTTATAGATCTATCCTCTGAGCTAAACTGCCACCACCTTCATCAAATCAGCTGTGCCTGCTTGTAAAAGATCAGCACAGCTGAGCTTTCGGACTGCTGAGAAAGGGGAGAGGGAGGGACATGGGACCCTCATCTGAGTATGTTGCCACTCTCAAAACCAGCCTTATGCGATTCTGCCCTAACTGCATGTGACTTCAGTCCCTGGGCAGAGCTGGAGGACAGAGGCTAGGAAGATTAAAGGAAGGGACTCTGTCTAAGCAGCCATGGGGGCGTTAATCATTCATGCTGGTGCAGATCTTCCAGTGTGTCTGCGTTAAGGTCAGCCATGCTCCTGCCTACAACACTCATCCACTGCTCTTTAAGTTCAATAAACTCACTGATTCCCCCAGGTGGACTCAAACATCAGTTTGTCCTTGGGATCTTCTGAGGAGCAGGACAGACACTACCTTGTTATCCCCAGGAAGAAAATGTTTTACACTCCAATATATGACCCCACCAATTAGACTCTCATGTTTGCTGCATACTCTGGATCAACATGGGGAATCCCTTAATGCAAGTCCTTGGAAGCCCCAGGATAACTTCCTTACCTCAGAACTTTTACTATAGCACTTCTTGATCAGCCCTGTACTACCCAAAGAAAATTATTTCTTTAACCGATTAAATTTATCCTTTGACAAGTTCATTTAATGCAATCTGATTATTCCCACCCTTACCACCTCTAATCTCACTAGAAAATTAATTCTAAAAGAAAATGCAAATTGTTCCGATTGCTCCTAAGAGAATACTATTAATCTACACTAGTGATTTCTATACTTAGTTATGCACAGCAAGAATTCAAAGTGATCTTCCTCTAAGTACACAGTAGGAATAGGAATAATCAGAATGAATAGTAGGAAGAAGAAGTGACGGTTCTTAGACATTTGAAGATCTCTGGTTTAAGAGTCAATGTTTCAACTAAAGGAATAAAATTAAAAACTTGAACTCATGAGCAGAAATGAATTTCCTTGCAGCCTGAGAAATTTAAAATAGCTGGCAATCGTGACTCTCCTTCCTGTAATGAGCTTAGATCTGAGCAGGATGGTGACTGAGGAAATCCAGAGAAGACAGAGCTGCCAACAAGATGAAGAATGGCGTTTCTGAGGAAAAGAAAAGTGTCGTGGGAAATTAAACATGTACAGAAAAGATACTGTAAAGTGATGCTAATCTTGTTTGCATAGATGGTGCTGGGAAAACTAATCTGTGGACATTCTATATGGTGAACAAATTTCAGACATAGGAAATCACCACCACGCAA